CTCCAGACCAGAAAAAGAAACAGCTACTAACTTGGGGACTGCCACTGATTTGGGAACACCTTTAATCCCATTAAATATCTACTCACAGACATTCTGCAGTATTAAATGTTCTCACTGGAGAATATAAAAGAGGAAGAACTGTAAAGGTCATCTGGTTCAGCCCTGAGACTTTGGAGCAAACTCTCCTACAGCAGTCTTCACGTTCTATGTCGTCACTGCCTTCCTTGCAATGCCTTCCAATATCAGCCCCCAAATGTCCATCCATGTCTGCCAGCAGGCGGTCCTGAATTTGCAGGATGGCTTTGGTTTTAAATAGACTATTGCACTGTCCCCATACGTTGTGATGGTTTCACAGCAGCCATTTTCACCCTCAAATCTGTCTTGGTTTAGACAATATGGTCATGCTTTACAAGCACAGACATTTATAACATGCGCTCTGAGTCTCAGTTGAGAAAACAGACACACACACACACCCCCATCCGTCCTTATTTCCATTCTTACCCAACGCATGCCCTTTGGTGTGCTCATGCCTGTCGCGTGATTCCCTTCTCCCTCGTACAAAGCTTGTTCCTGCCTCTGAGTTTGCCCATGTTCCTCTCCCTGCCTGTAAAGGTTTCCTTTCCCCACTCTACTTACGTAAATCTAACCCATCTTTCAATACTGCTTTCAAGCCCCATTTCCACGAAGCCGCCTCTGTCTACTCAACCCACACTGATTTCTCCCTTCTCCCTTCTCTTAACTTCCACCCGTGACATTTGCTTTGCTAAAATAGAGTAAGGAGTGAAAGGCACCTCTTCAGTGATGGAGTCACTCCTCCTCCAAGCACTCTGCCTGCATTTTGTTTAGAAGCCAGCAGGTAGCACCTGGTTATGGTAATCTGGTCCCAAACCCAACAGGCTGGCTTTCTTCAAAGGTGATTCTTCAAAGAAATGAGAATATATAATCTATTTACACATGGTATTTTTTTTTCTTACGAAACTGTGTTCAATACTAAGAAAGCTGCAAATAAAACATTTAAACTGGAGGCTGTCTTGGAGATCTCCTTGCCTAACCTCTTACCCAAAGCAGAGGTGCACCCCCCTTTAGCATCCTTGAAAGACGGCCACCCAACGTATTCATAAACACTTCCTTTGAGCCCATCTCTCCAGGCACCTTGTTCCCCTGTTCGTTGTCCAAGCTCTGATTGTTAAAGTTCTTCCTTATAATACAGTATTTGTCAAAGTTAAGTTTGTGGACCATCTGTATGTACCATGATTATTTGAGGCGATTGTTAAAAATCACAGGTTCCCAAGTCTAACTCCAGACCTACTGAATCAGCATTTGGAGCAAGGATTTAAAAAGTAATCTACCTTGTTAACAGGTTTTCCAGGTGACATCTATTATACCAAAGTGTAAGATCGACTGTTAGAGTCAGTGGATTCTCTATCTAGAACCTACTTCTACCTTCCTAACAGGGGAGAGCAAGACACCTCCCTTTTCTTTCCAGTGTTCATGGCAGCACTATTTACAATAGCCAAGACATGGAAGCGACCTAAATGTCCATCGACAGACAAATGGATCAAGTAGATGTGGTATATATATATATACATACATACACACACACACACATATACATGCAATGGAATATTACTCAGCCATAAAAAAGAATGAAATAATGCCATTTGCAGCAACATGGATGGATCTAGAGATTATCATACTAAGTGAAGTAAGTCAGACAAAGACAAATATCATATGATATCACTTATATGTGGGATCTAGAAAGAAAATGATACAAATGAACTTATTTACAAAACAGAAATAGATTTACAGACTTTGAAAACAAACTTATGGGCACCAAAGGGGAAACCTGGCAAGGAGGGATAAATTAGGAGTTTTGGATTAACATACACACACTACTATATATAAAATAGGTAGTCAACAAGGACCTACTGTACAGCACAGGGAACTCTACTCAATATTCTGTAATAACCTATATGGGAAAAGAATCCAAAAAAGAATAGATACATATGTATGTATAAATGAACCACTTTGCTGTACACCGGAAACTAACACAACATTGTAAATGAACTATACTCCAATATAAAATAAAAAATTAAATTAAAAAAACATACTTTCCTTTTCTTCATGGCAGCTCTTCTAATGCTGGAAGATGTCAGTTCTCTCTCCCATCTCTCATTAATACTCTTTTGCAACCCCGGTTATTTCACTCTTCCTCCTACTACAAAGTTCCCCACCCTGAACCAAGTTAAGCACACTCTCCTGGGTCTTCCCTTTGCCAGTGTCCTTCCCAAAGCGTGATGCCAGAATGAAGTGGAGAGAGTGAGCTAGATTTCTAACGCTTTTACTACATACTGATAATTTTGTGAAGTATATCAACTTACACTCCCACCAGCTGACAATGAGAATACGAATTTTGGTCTAAACTAGCCAGCAGGTATCACCATTCTGTAAATCTTTAACAGGCACACGACGTTGACTCCTCATAGCTGTTTTAATTCGAGTGCCTTTGTTTATATTTTTCATACATATATTGGCCAGCGGTAGTTCTTTTGTGAATTGTCTGCTCTTGTCCTTTCTGGGTCCCCCCTGTCCCCTTTTAATTCATTATGCCCATGGCTGTGGCCAGTAAGTCCTTTCAATGCATTATCTCATCTAACCCTCAAAACAACATTCCTCCCACTTCACAGGTGAAGAAACTGAGCCTTCAGGAACGTATAATGAGGAAACACAGTTAGGTCTTCAGCTTCCTCACCACTTTATGCCTTCATTTAATCCATGTTTTTTGGAGGAGAGACCTTCATCCTCCAGACACTTTGTAAAGTGAGTTAAGAAAGCCAAGTATTTGGGATGAAATTATGAGGAAGATTCAAAAGAACACTAGAAAATTTTGTAATTCTATTACCTCCTTACATCTCCCTAATATTTCCTTTCTTTGTTACTTTTCCTGGCATAGAGGTAATAGTGACCGAGTTAGAATCAATTAGTGGGTAGCAATGCTATTTACTGATACGAGGTTTAAGGTGGATGTAGGTACCTGTTCAGATTTTTACCAAGAGAGGTAACGTGTGGCTGACTCTAAAAGAGCGTCAGAAAAGGATCAAAGAGAGTAATCTGGAAATAAGGTAGAACTCCATAACAAATTACAGTCCATCAGTTGACAGCAGCATCAGTAGATAATAGTTCAAAAGTATGTACACAAGAAGGATTGGCTTTCATTTTTTCCATTTTATATTATCAAGACCAGTGTTTACACAATTAACTAAGATCCAAATGTTAATTCATCATTTATAGCATTTTAGTCTAAACAGCTGAGCTTCTCTTGGTTTTGGTTAATTTAATCAAATTTCATGGAATTATACTTTAATCGAAAATACATATGCATAAAGTTGAAATGATATTTAAATCAACTGAATTTACAACCAGATTAAAAGAAATGCAAACAATGAAGTACAGATCTGAATCAGAAGCAAAATTAATCTAATCCTCCTTCATTTTTCTACCTTGAAGGTGGCCAACAACCAAAGGTCAGGAGTTCTCAATGCCACATAGTGACAACACTGAGATTCAAATCCAAGTTTCCTGACTTTAAATTGAGAGCCTGTACAACTGAGTCTTTAACTGACATTTAACTATTCCCACCCTCACTCAAACAAACCCTGGTCCTCCAAACTCTAATAAAGCTTTCCAAACAAGACCTATAAACGAGGCATCAAAACACCTAATGCAATTTTAAAAAATCTTGGCTCCCCAGCTTTGTGATTCCAGGCACCCTAATAAAAGTCCCTTGGGGCTATTCTTCTATAGACATTGGCAGAAACTCAATTTCTTCCTTATTTGTTATTCATAGAAACATATTCATTCGCAATTCCTAGGTTCTACATTTTGCCCCAAATCCTCTTTCACGTTATAAACAAACATAACAAAAAAGAAAAAAATTATTAGGTCAATTATGATGCCCATTTCCCCAAAATAAGAAAGAATACAACTTTTCTTTCTTCTTTACTATTGTTAGTTTCCCATTACCCTCTTTTTTATTTTATTATTATTATTATTATTTTGGGATTTTTTGCGGTACGCGGGCCTCTCACTGTCGTGGCCTCTCCCGTTGCAGAGCACAGGCTCCGGACGCGCAGGTCCAGCGGCCATGGCTCACGGGCCCAGCCGCTCCGCGGCATGTGGGATCTTCCCGGACCGGGGCACGAACCCGTGTCCCCTACATCAGCAGGAGGACTCTCAACCACTGCACCACCAGAGAAGCCCCCATTACTCTCTTTTTGAACCATAATTTTTAACTACACAAAAATTTTAAGTTCACTTTCTCAATACTAAAATTTAGTTCCTCCCAACTTACAGCCTGGCAACCATGCTCTTTTCATGGAACACAAAGAAGATTTAACATTTAAACATTGTTCCAAATACGGACAAAGCAAATTTTAGAAAGCTATGCTCTGATGGAGTTGACTGCTGATCACTTATATAGTTTCTAGAATTTTCTCATCTGGAGCCTAGTCTGAATTATTTGTGAGCCTACACCCACCACCAGACCGGTGTTTGCACCCATCTCTACCTTCACCCACCAGTAATGTCGTCCACCACACACGCTCCCCTACGAAGGAGAGCCTTCTCCCACAGAGACCCTTCCTCCACCCACAGGTCTCTCCCCACAGGACACGGCTCCGTGTGCAAGCATCGCCGTCATGCACACTCACCTCTCCCCCACCCCCAAACACACTAACAAAAACCAACACTGGTTATCATCACAAAGTAGCACATTATCCCAAGGTTCGACCTGCAGAATCAAGAAAAAACCTAACACCATTCAACTGACCCCTTAAAAGCCATGCTAACTTGATAAGCTGTCAACTGCCTCACAGGGACAGGCTCTTTCAAAGCTTTCCTTGGAAATTCAGGCGCGGTGATCCCCGCTGCCTTCAGACTCAACTACCCGCAAGGCTCCCCCCAGGAAGGCCAGAGCACAGGGGTCCCGGGCGCACACTCACTGCAAATCTGACTTGGCAGTTCTCCTCCCCCAGGTAGCACAGGTCTCCCGAGACGTTGGTCTCCAGCCACAGGTGCTCTCCATTCACGGCATTTTCCTGGAAGGAAAAGACCCACCTGACTTCAGTTTTCTTTTCAGGCATAAAGGGACGGGGTGGAGGGGGGCAGATCTCAAATTTAGAGTTTAGATGCAAGAAAGTTAGTGAACCCAAATTGTCTAAACGCTTCTCATTTTACCCCTGAAAATACTGCTGAAATTGGTCCTACCAAAATTCTAGAAACGGAAAAAGGTATTTGGAAAAACTGTGAGCAATAATTAATTAATATGTTAAGTCCAAAGATGCGTTTACCCATGGATGTGGTCATCTTTGAAATATGTAACAAATGAGGGGCAAAAAACCCTCAAGGTATTCAATCTAAGGCCTTATTCATCCAGGCCCACTGCAGAGTTCATGACAATTGAGGCCAAAATTCTATTAAAAGTCGACTCTCCTTAGCAAATTAGCTAAGGAGGAGAGCAGTATTAAAGTACTTTAAAGGCTGCTTGAAAATACATTTATATCAGTAATGGATAAATTATACTTCTAAACCAGGAGCTTCTTATAACTTAGTTTTAAGTCGCTGTGTAGTCAAAGCATAATAAATTACTAATTCAAACATTTTACCAGCTCAATAGGGCCTTCGTCCAATTCTAAATTCTTCAAATTGAATGATTTCCCTACTTCTAAAAATATCCACATACCTCCAGTGGCAAACAGAGAATAGCTGTAGGTTTGGAACCCTAAAAGTCTTCAGATCATGATGGATGAGAACAAGATAAAAAATAAATTAGTTCATTAAAAGGCATTTCTTTGCCAGGTATCCTAAAGAAATCCAGCTCCACAAACTAAAATATTCTACTACTGGGAACTTATCATCCAGATTTAACTTACAACCATTTATAGAATTAAATCTCTTTTCATTCTTTTATTCTCTAATTCATTCAATAAACATTCCACACACCTGGTGCCAGGCACTGGGTTAGCGTGCAGTAAAATCTACCAGAGAACATGGAAACTAAACACATAATTATAGCAGCAAATACTACAGAAACGTACTACAGCAAAAATCCCACCAACTCTTTTAAAAAGTGAAGTATAAAATGTTGCAGTGGGGAGAAGGTCAAAAATCCTTGATAATACCAATCTAGGCAGGCCCAAAATTAAGTCCCAGTAGGCCAAGTAAGGTGGGTAGGAGCAAGTAAGCCCAGGGAGTCAGAGACTTGCAAGACATCAGTAACTCACTGGGCTGGCGGGCTTCATCCACGCTGGGCCAAGCCGATTGCCCCTGCACACTGGAGACCCTCTACGAGCACTCAGAAGCTTGCTGACAAGGATTCAGGCACGGCAGGAGTGCTAGCGTGAGCTAACCTCACTCCTGAGTGGGGATCTGATTAGAAAGCCCGACATCAGTAAGAGAAGAGGGAAAGAAAAAGGTGGGGGCTTCCTGCCACAGTGGCTCGAGCACACTCGTTCTCAAATGTAATTGCTCATTACAATGACCTGATGGGTTTTGAAGAACACCTGGCTACCAGCCCATCCCCAGAAAGTGTGCTTTAACTAGTCTGAAGTTCTTAGCAAACATCTGCAGCTGTAAGAATGGAAACACCACTTACTGAAATTCAGGGAGAAGATTACAGTAAGAGCAGATTTAGGGAGTAAGCCGAGTTCAGGTTTTTGTTTTATTTTATTTTCCACTGAGTTATAATTAACATTCAATATATTAGTTTCAGGTGTACAACACAGTGATTCTATAGTTTTATACATTATGAAACGATCAGTGCAATGAGTTCAGTGTTGAGGATGTAAAATTCTGAGATGCTTATTAGACCCTCAAGTGGAGATGTTGAGAGGGCAATTTTTATGAGTCTGAAGTTCAAAGAAGAGGTATGTACTGTATGAATAATTTGGGAGGCAACTGTTAATTGATGGCATCTAAAGCCATGAGAACTGAATGCAAAAACCTAAGGACTGAATATGGATGGAAAGCTCTGAGTACTGAGCTGTGGAACATTCCAATACTTAAGTTTGGGGATATAGGAAAGATCCAGCAAAGGGGACTGGGACGGAGTGGCCACTGGGGTACAAGGAAAACAAAAAAGAGTATAACGTTTCCAGGAAGAAAGTGCACCTAGAAGGTCTGTGTCAAAAGCTGAAGAATTGGCCATTGGATTTCACCATGTGAACATGTGAAGTCACTGATGACCTTGACAAAAGTACCAAGAGCAGGATGAGAAGGAAGAAAGCCTGATGGAATTGGGTTCAAGAAATAATATTACTGACTCTAGTTTCAAAATGTGTATGAAACCCAATTAATTCTCACCACATCTACTGTTACCACCCAATCCTCCATCATCTCTGGCTTGGAATATTCCCAATAGCCCCCTAACTGGTGTCTCTGCTCTACTCTTGTCTCCCCATGGTCTGTTCTCCACAGAGCAACCAAAATAATTACCTTAAAATGTAAATCTAATCAGGGACTTCCCTGGTGGCGCCGTGGTTAAGAATCCACCTGCCAGTGCAGGGGACACGGGTTCCATCTCTGATCCAGGAAGATCCCACATGCCGTGGAGCAACTAAGCCCGTGCACCACAACTACTGCGTCTGGGCTCTGGAGACCACGAGCCACAACTACTGAGCCCATGTGCCGCAGCTACTGAAGCCCATGCGCCTAGAGCCCATGCCCCGCAACAAGAGAAGCCGCCGCAATGAGAAGCCGGCGCACCGCAACGAAGAGCAGCCCCCGCTCGCCACAACTAGAGAAAGCCCGCGCGCAGCAACGAAGACCCAATGCAGCCAAACAGCAACAGAAAAAGTAAACCTAATTAAATCGCTCATCTGCTCATAACTCTTCAATGGCTATCTATGTACTCGGAAGAGTGCAAAGTCCTCACTTACCTCGTCCCTGGGAGCCTCTCTGACTTCCTCTCCTGTCTCTCGGCAATCTCGTTTCCCTGCCCAGCTACCTCATCTTCTCTCTCTCTCCCTCTCAGTCGCTGACCTGCCATTACACTGGTCTCGTATTTCCCAAGCAGACTAAGGAAGCTCTCATCTCAGGTCCATTGAATTTGCTGCTCCCTTGACTAAAAATTGCTTACACGAGACACCTGCACTGTGCATTTCTCATTTCATTTAGATCTCTGCTCAAATGTCCCCACATCAAAGACTGTTGACCACATATTCTGTTTACTGTATCCAAACTTCCTATTCTTCTTCATTCTGACTTACGTGGGTAATTTCTATTTACCTTTTGGTTACCAGATCAAGTGTTATTTTCTCAAAGAAGCCATCACTGACCCCAAAATCGAAGTCATTTTGTTAGTTACTCTCATAAAACCATGTTTCCCTCCCATCATTCATTGGCATGATTATTTGATTCATGTTTCGCTCTTATGCTAGATTCTAAGCTTCATATGGACATTAAACGTCCAGCACTTAACTTAGCACCTGGCAAATAGTAGGTGATAAATAAATTTGGGGAACTGAAAAGATGAGATTAAGAAGCAGTGAATGAATCACATTCTTGTTATATGCAATTCCAAGGAGTAGAAAGGATAATTTTTTTTTTAATCTGTCCATAAGTTTGGAGTCACAAACTGTGAGAAGTAAACATGGATGCCTAAGAGACATGACGGTCTTTCAAAATCATGAAAGAAACAGAGGCATGCAAGAAAAAAAGTCATGCAAGGAAAACATGAAACATACCTTTTCTTAGACTGCATTTTCCCCATGCCTCATCCTTTTCCTGTACATCTGTCTCGTCTGACGCATCAGAAGGAAGTAACCTTACGCAAAGAGAGGTCTGGCCTTTGCCCTCAACTATAGGAAGGTAATCTCTCTAAGTGCCTGGAAGGTCTTGCCTGATAAGAGTATCTTTGTTTACATGGGGACCTTGGGCCATGCCAAATATTCTAAAATAGCAGTGACTTATGGTGAGGCGTATATCAGCTCATCCTCCAGAGGGGCTAGGGGCTAAAGTCAACGAGGCAGGTGGTTAACTGTGTCTACATGACCAAGCGCCGGCTAAAACTCTGGGTACCAAGTTTCAGATGAGCTTCCTTGGTTGGCAATATGCCATATGTATAGTTGCACCATGGTTGCTGGGAGAAGTTATCTCTGTCATAAATCCACCGGGAGAGGACAACTGGAAGCTCCTTGTGTAGAAATTTCCTGGACTTTGCACCATGCACCTCTTTCCTTGGCTGGTTTGAGCCTGTATCCTTTCACTATAATAGGCCATAAATGTGAGTACAGCAGCTTTCAGTAAATTCTATGAGTCCTTCTGATGAATTATTGAACATGAGTGTGGTCTTGGGGATTCCGGAACCTGCAAGTGGGTATGATCTTGGGAACTCCTGAATTCAGCTGGGTGGCATTCACACATGAATAGAAAAATAAACTGTTGTAGTTTTCTTCTTACACTTCTGATAAATCCTTATCCAGTTCAAGAGTAATAATCATGAGCTTTGGAGTCAGACAGACTTGCTACCTACTCTATGACCTAGGGTCTCTCTAACTTCCCTAGACCTCAGTTTACTCACCACTAAAATTGTAATAATAATTGTCCTTCCCTCACAAGATCACAATGATGTTTAAATGTGAAAATGAATAACGTTCAATGCCTTGCCCACAATGAGAAGTTAATAGGTGTTAATACAGTTCTCTTTTAAAAAATTTATTCATTTATTTTTGGCTGCATTGGGTCTTTGTTGCTGCATGCAGACTTTCTCTAGTCACGGTGAGCGGGGTCTACTCCTCGTTGTGGTGCGCGGGCTTCTCATTGCAATGGATTCTCTTGTTGCGGAGCACGGGCTCTAGGCACGCGGGCTTCAGTAGTTGTGGCACGTGGGCTCAGTAGTCGCAGTGCACGGGCTTAGTTGCTCCACAGCATGTGGGATCTTCCCGGACCAGGGCTCGAACCCGTGTCCCCTGCATTGGCAGGTGGATTCTTGACCACTGCACCACCAGGGGATTCCCTCAATATAGTTCTTATTATTATCATTGTGGTTAGTCTCCAGTTTTCCTTCTTCCTTCCTAATCCATAGATGTTGGTATTATGC